TGAGAGTAAAAGATGGGGACATTGTTGTTTATTTACTTAGCATTGAGTCTCTTCAACTAGGTGACAATGTAGCATTAAATCACCATTCAACAGACTCAAGCCACCACCGCACTGCCGTCTATTGGACTGCAGAAAGATACTAACTTTTCAATCTGCTATGTTCCTGACTGTACTGACAAACTATGCTGACACACCGTGTCCACGCTGCAACAGGACTCGACAAAGCAACCGTTGAAAATCATTTGAACTTTGTGTCAGCACGTCATAAATAGAACGAGGCATCAGTTTACTGCATCCAGTGTAGACAACATTACTGATTATAATGGGTTCTATTCTACACTGGATGCGAGCGGCACGGCGTGACAAAATACAATAGAAATCTATTGTATTTTGTCGCGCCACGCAATGTGATGTGATCGATGTGATAAGCATGAGTTCTGGGCCGCAGTGTGGTCAGTGTCCTGACATTTTATCCTGCCCGTCAGATTGTCCTACCAGGGTTTACTTCTTTACTACACACATCCATGGCCTTTTTCTCATGCTGAACAACAATATTTATTGTATCTGCATTACTGTAAGGTTAGGTTTAGGGTTGGGGTAGGTGTTATCTTTAATAAAACACAATCTAATAGGTAGAAAAAATTATTTATTGTTGGTTTCCTGTAGCTGTATCCCTTCTAGCTACAACCACGAATATAACACATAATTACTGTATTTGCATTACTGTAAGGGTAGGTTTAGGGTTGTGGTAGGTGTAGACATTAATAAACCATAATTTTACAGGTAGCATTTTTTGTTGTCGAATTGTACTACCCACTGTTTTAATGGGCGGTAGCAAAATCTAACAGGGTAGCACAAATCGACAGAACACCGGTATAAACACCAGCATTGACTGAGTGGCCACGATCAGCTCCGGTGGCTGTAACACAGGCCGTAACACATGCGCAGATCAGCTCTCTCTAACGTCACTGAATCTGCTGTTAAAAATGAACCATCCATTCATCATATCATCATGCAGAACTAAGAATTAGAATCATTGTAATGAGACGATCAAATAAAGGTGCGGGTGGGTGGTGGGCGGCGGGCAGATAATTTGAAGCAGTGGACTCGGGTGAAGTTTGAGCTCATCCGCCCATCTCTACATTACACTGACCTGGGTCGCCAGTAGCAAACAATGGAGCGCGCTCTGCTGGACAAACTAAGTAAGTACACCATTCAGAAGCATTTAATCGGCGTTATATGTTCGGCTCATATCGGCCGATAATATCGGCAAAACAATATATCGGTCAGGCTCTAATTATTATTATTTTGGTTGCTTTTTTTAGTTTTAGTTTTTTGTTTATATTTGGCATGAAAATTATGTATGTATATGTGTTTGTGTGTGTATGCACATTTCCATAGCATCAAAACAACATAACAATAATATATATATATATATATATATATATATACATACAGTGGAGATCAAAATTAGAGAACAATATATAAATACTTGACTTTTTTCTGCAATATTGTTAATCTTCATCACTCAAAATTTGAAGGAATATTAGCTGTGGGTATACCACAGTTCTACTAACATGTTTTACAAAATAACCAGAGAATGTCAACAAAAAACATTATTTTGTGGAAAACACAGTGATCAAAATTAGAGAACAGTAACCACTGTAGCACGAAAGATTACAATACAGAAAGATTAAAAACAAAAGATTTTTTTGAAAGTCGGAGCGTCGTGGTTTTCACTTGCTCCAAGAGCGCTTCACTGCCGGTCCATCACGAGAACAATTAATGCCAACAGCCCATAATATAACTGCTTTTTATCAAGAATTCACACATTAAACATCATTAGCTAGCTTGACAGATATGTGGATCACTCAAATCAGAAAGAAGGTGAAGGTTATAATGACTTCGATGGATCAGTACGGGTGGTTATATCTCAAGCATGTTTGTTTGTAGCATGCGGATACTCAATATTGATTGGGTGAATTCAAGTTTTAAACAGTTTATTGTACAGGTAGTTAATCTCCCTCTAAACTAATGTGCTGCTACATTGCTGCAAGCGTGCACAGCACACAAGCTCGCATATAACATACAGGTTGCGTGCACATAGAAACATTCAGGAGTGCCGAAAATGATTGTCAACGCTGTCCTGTGATTTATCAGCTTAAAACGGAAAACTTATAGCATATTCTGTCTGTTTCTGAAATAACTACAACCCTCAGCTTCACCATAGTAGAGAGACGCTGCACAGACAAGTGAGATAAACTGTCATTTAATATTGACTTGGGCTAATTGCAATGTTCCAATAAATCATGTTAAAACTATTCTTCTAATATTGTGTATTTATTTTTCGTTTAAAATAATTTCTGAACAGAACTTTGTGATATTTCAAAACATACTGAAATACTTTAGCTGCAAATTTGGTCATGGAACGAAGGCGGAGCGGCATTTCTGATCAGTGGAGCGGGAAATGCTGAACTGGAGCGGGGTGACTATTGAATGCTTGGAGTGCGGAGGGGAAATTGTTGCCGCTTCACTCCGCTCACATACTCTAGCACTGAACTCCCAAGCAATTCCAGCTGCAGTGTTGAACCGATTCCCCATTGAGAGTCTCCGCATTATCCTGTCTTCTCGTGCACTTGTCTTATGTGGATGACCAGCCTTTTTGGGGGACTTGAATGAATTAGTGTCATTTGGAATTGGACAGATTTGGAATGACCAGCTTCTCTTGCAGTGGCTGAAAGTGTCATCCCATTGGCCTTCATTTGGCCATCTTGCAATCTCAGTGAAAATTGGAGGAATGCTGCCAGTTAAATAGGGTTTGTCATTTAATTATGGAAATTAGCACCAGGTGCCAGATTAACACCAAATAACTTGGTGGTAATCTGTAAGTGTTCTCTAATTTTGATCAGAGTTCTTTATCAAATCACGTATTTAAGTTTTTTATACTGTGCTTTAGAATACAATTAATTTATGAAATATGCTTTAAAAACTGCCCTTCTGCTCCTAACTTCAAATAGGACTAAGCAGCGACCTTGAAATTGAGTAAACTGTAGGTTTGTATACACACACACACACACTCTCTCTCTCTCTCGGTTGTCCATCGAAGCCGATGACGACGTCCACGCCTTTATCGGTGAGATCTTTGATGGCTAAACAGTCCTATCCTGGACCCACACACTCGATTACAGGTGGGGCATATGTATGTAATGGTAGTAGTAATGGCAGTGGTGGCAGCCATGGCTGTATTTCTCCTGGCTCGCTTCTGCTGTCTTCTGATTGTCCTCTCCATCTCCAGCGTATGAACCCCATCTCTACACAGCTTTTGCCAGATGGTACGGTCAGCAGCAACATCCTCCAGGTCCTCGGGTCTGATCTTACACTTCTTCAAGATGTTCTTCATCTGATCCTTATATCGCTTCTTCGGCCCCCCAGCTGAACGTCGACCATGATGTAGCTGGCCGTATAGCACTCTGCGGGGCAGTCGACATGGGGGCATCCTTATCACGTGCCCCAACCACTGCAGCTGGCGCTGGGTGATCATGGCCTCAATACTTCTACAGTTGGTCTTTTTAAGTATTTCAGTGTGAGGCACACGATCACGCCAGGTAACTCCCAGAATGCGCTGAAGGCAGCTTATATGGAAGTGCTCTAGGGACCTGATGCGACAGCTGTAGGTTACCCAAGCTTCACAGCTATAGAGCAGGGTAGTAACACAGACCGCTTGGTATACGGCGACCTTTGTGGAGGGATGAAGATTCTTGTTATGAAAGACACACACACACACACACACACACACACACATATATATGAGAAAACTTCTCATGGTATATATATATATAATATTGAGAACCATGAGAAGTTTTCTCAAATTAGGGCTGTATTTTAATTGTTTAATGAGTATTGTGATTGAATACTGACTGTGGTGTAATAATCATTTGTATATTTGTATTTTTGTAGTTTTATTTCTTTGATCAAAGAATCTCGATTGTTCAATTAAACTTTTTTAATTTAAAAAAATGTTTTACACAAACAAATCAATATTACTTTTAGCGAGTCTATCATTGATGCTTACCTGCTCACAAGTTCAGCAGCCATTCAGAGTGTTTGAGAAGCCCTTCTTTAAACAAACTTCTCAAATAACCTCTTCATATCGCTCCAAAACAAGTGACAGACTGTCCAAACTTCATTTCCATCTTTTTGTTTAATTTATAAAATGTCTCGGGGTGCAAATATTTGAAGATGAAAGAGTGAGAATGATGTGATATTTGCAGCCATATTTCCCCAGGTGCCATAAATTTCATACTTCAAAGCTGTGTGTTTTGATCCTGAGAGTCTGGAAATCTGTAGTAATTATTCAGTTTTATTCAGCTCTGTAAACAATAAGGAATGAAATAAAGCACATTTTTGAGTTGGATAAATGTTGTGTGAGTTTCTGACAGATACTACAGGATGATAACTGACCCATTTTCTCTTTCTCTTCCTCTCCAGCTAATGTTCTGGACACCATGCTGCTGAGGAATTCTGGGAAGGTGGAAGAACGTCGGGAGACAGGAAGTGATGTGCCGGCTCTACCTCAGCGCTTCCTGTGGTGTTATTGTTACCATCACTGTCCGGAGGACTCCACTAATAACACATGCAGGTATCAGGACACATCCCGCCTCACTTACGTACACTTGCACACATACTTTACATGGCATTACATGTGTGTTGTGTGTTCAGGACGGATGGTTACTGCTTCACCATAGTGGAGGAAGAGGGTGGAGCGGCTGTGGTGACGTCAGGCTGTCTGGGTCTGGTCGGATCAGAGTTTCAGTGCAGAGTGAGTCATAAACTGCTCTAGTTTCCTAAATAAACCACTTAAGTGTTAGTGCATCAGTCCTCAAGCACAGACGAAACAAAAGCCTTATGTAACACCCTGTTCTGTTGAAATTTCTATTCATCAAGGAATCCACAGAAATATGAAGCAGGACAACTGTGTTCAGCATTAACGATAATAATAAATGTTTCTTAAGCAGCAAATCAGCATATTAGAATGATTTCTGAAGGATCATGTGACACTGAAGACTGGAGTAATGATGCTGAAAATTCAGCTTTGATCACAGGAATAAATTACATTTTAAAGTATATTCAAATAGAATTCAAATTCAAATTTTAAATTGTAATAATATTTCACATTATTACTGTTTTTCCTGTATTATTTGATCAAATAAATATAGCCTTGATGAGCAGAAGAGACTTATTTCAAAAACCCCAAACCAAAAATCCAAACCCCAAACCCAAAGATCACCATAAAAGTAGTTTTATTTTGAGTGAACTATTGCCTTACACTCTCCTGTATCTTAACATAAAACAATTTAAAATCAAAATCAATCATATTTACTTTCATAATACATGCCCCTGCTCTTATTGTGCAACAATTGTTTGTTAAAATGTTTTTTTTTCCTTCTGCCAAAGCCACGTGGACAATGAAGAATGATATTAATTAATTTTTATTTTATATATATATTTTTTTTATTTTTATTTTATTCTATATATATTTTATATAGCTTATTTTTCCCCATTTTGAGTCCCGTCCTTACAGTACATTTCCTGATGCTGAACATTCGCTTAGAAACGTATTTTGAAATGTCACACTACAAAAGTTCAATGAGTTGCATATAGTGTTTCAGTGTCATTGTGTCTGTTACTGATCACCTGAGATAACTGATGTGTTAGTATAGTGTGTGTTTGTGTGTGTTTAGGACACGGGGAACTCTAAACAGCGGCGAGCGCTCGAGTGCTGCACAGATCAGGACTACTGTAACAGAGACCTACATCCAACACTGCCTCCCCTACGAACACCCAGTGAGTGCACACACACACACACACACACACACACACACACACAACCATCTGCCAGTCTAATCACAGATTCACTTAAATTTACTAAAATGTGAAGTTATTTTGTGGTGTTTGTGTAGGTAAGCATCATTATTACTATTGTCAATAATTCGGCTGAGCGATTTTAACTTCTAACTCTAAGTTGAACCATTTAGCAGAAACATAGTGACATTCTAAAAACCTCTCAGAATTATGGTGGCTGAGAGAGCTCAATGCATTGCAAATGAAAAAAACACATGCAAATAGAAAAGGCACCAGCAAATTAAGAAAACATCTTCATCAGTTTGACAACACATGCACTGCAAAAACTCACAATACAACCAAATACAGAATGGTTGTATTGTGCATACATGTATCTGCATACATAAATGGTAAAAAAAAAAAAGATAATGGTAAATGCCAAAAGCATCATTACTACACTTTTACTATAATAAAAACATGGTTAATTTTTGTAAGGGTTGTTGGGTTCCCCTTGAAACATTTCCGTTGTGGTCTGTGCTACTTGCAATGCTTTTCTGTATTTGGTCACGTTGTGCGTATTTGCAGCGCGTTTCTGTATTTGGTTGTGTTGTGAGTCTTTGCAGCACGTGTGTTGTCAAACTGATGAAGATGTTTTCTTAATTTGCTGGTGCTTTTTCTATTTGCATGGGTTTTCTTAAGTTGCAGCGCATTGAGCTCTCTCGGCCACTGTACAGAATACCTTAGCAACCACATAGCAACATTCTTACAACCACTCAAAACACCTTAGCAACTAAATTACAACGCCTTGGCAGCAACCCAGTACACCACTGCAACTGCAGATCAATGTGCTAAAATCCACTCAAAATACCTTAGAAACTACATAACAAAGCCTTGGCAACAGGGTTATTATTGTTAACTCAAACTATGAAAAATAGTTTTGTTAATTGAAATAAAGCTGAAGTAAAAAATAATATAAAATGTAAGATGAAAAATTTAAACTAAATGAAAAATGTGAAATTAACTGCACAAAAATTACAAACTGGAAATAAAAAACTAAGACTGAAATTAAAATAAATGAAGCCTTAAAAAATAACATAATAATAATGATAATACTACTAATAATAATGAGTAATAAAAAAATTACTAAAACTGAATTAACTAAAAATTAAAATAAAAACTGAATATAGAAATTAAATCTAACTCAAAATATTAAAACTATAATAGTATATTAGTATATAATAATAGGCAAGGCAAGTTTATTTATATAGCACATTTCATACACAATGGTAATTCAAAGTGCTTTACATAAAAGAAAAGAAAAAAATAATCACAACAATAAAACAAGGAATTTAAAAACTTTGAAAATGATTTAAAAAATTGATTTAAGAGGTTTAAAATGAATTTAAGAAAGCGATTATACATAAAATATAGTGCAATCAGTTCGGACATCGCACAGTGCTCATTCAATAAATGCACAGCTTAAGTATTTGTTCAGCTGATTAAAGACTACCTTTTCAATAATCTAGTCTGGATTACTATAGACTAACTCAAAAACATACTGAAGTGAATAATAATAATAAAAAAAAACATTATTTAACCTAGTATTTTCCTTTGGGCAACATTCCTAGAAAAAATGTGTGATTTGTTCCCAAAAGTATATATAGGTTAGAAACTCTCACACACCTGTAGGGTTTATTGTGGCTGTCATGATACAACTCCCCTCAATCAACACAGCAGAATAGAAGCTTCTCTGTCCGTCACACACACACACACACACACACACACACACCCTCACACCTGTGCTGTAGCTCTGATTTCAGCAACACACACACACACACACACCCTCACACCTGTGCTGTAGCTCTGATTTCAGCATCACACACACACACAGCTCCTGAAGGAAGTGTTCATAGAGCCAAGTCAGTGTGATGATGTAAGAGTTGTGTGTTAACCGTCGGCTCTTTGACATGTAATAATACGTACGTGTGTGTGTGTGTGTGTGTGTGTGTGTGTGTGTGTGTGTGTGCAGGTTACGTGGTGGGAGACATTCATCATATTGCTCTGCTCATCTCAGTGACCGTCTGTAGCTTCATCCTCACTTTCATCATCATCTTCTGTTACTTCAGGTGTGTAAGTTACCAAACAAACACAAACAAACACAGACTTCAGTTTCTTAAATAAAGCTACTTAAAGGGATAGTTCACCTCAAAATTAAGATTTTGTCACCATTTACTTTCCCTCAAGTTATTCCAAACTTGTATGAGTTTCTTTCACTTACACAGCACTTACATCAAAACCTTACAGTTTTATTCCTATTCAGAAGGTTTTACAAAGGGGTTTGTTTGTATATAATTTTCCTTATTTTATGCAACATTTTATTCTTAAAAACATGGTGACTTCTTTGATGAAAAGAGGTATACAAAATAAGTCAATATATCTAATAAGTCAACAAAACCTGGCTTTATCCAATGTTCAGTTTTCTGTTCTGGAAGTGTTTTCAAATGAGTGTTTATTTAATTAGATATTGCCTCATAGCATTACATGGCAAACGTAACATTTCAGAACACTTGTAATTCATAAATGATTGCAATTCTTAATGTAATCATTCAACTAAGGAAGCATGGTGGCATCAGTTAATTTTTAACCTTTTCACTTGGGAAGTTCTTGCCTTAAAATGACTATGAACTTTTGGTCAGCATGAACTACAGTGTCTGGTTATATGAGACCAGATTAACCCTTATTCTAAACTTTAGTCGGCCACATTATTATAATGATCTTTGTTTTTTAATGTAGCTGTTTTTTTTTTATCATTGTGACTGAAATATAAATCCCCAGGACTTTTGGTCATGTTAGTCTGGTGTTGAAGTGGTCTGTGTGGTGTTTCAGGTATAAGCGTCACGAGTTAGTCCCGCGCTACAGCCTCGGCCTGCATCCGGACGAGACGTTCATTCCTCCGGGAGAATCCCTGCGGGATCTCATAGAGCAGTCCCAGAGCTCCGGCTCAGGGTCAGGACTCCCCCTGCTGGTGAGATCACACACTGCACACAGTCACAGATCACATGAAATCAGCGTCTGCATAGAGCCCTGTGATTTCTGTGATGCAGAAAACACGGATGGAATCATGGAATCCATTAAAAAAAAAGGAATTTACTGTATAATGTGGAATGTCATGGAATTTTGGATGAATAGATCAAAAGTAGGACTGTACAATTAATCAAATCAAAACATGAACTAGTATCTGTGATTATTAAACTGCAAAAAGACTACTATTTAATATGAAGTCAGTGTGTCTCAGAGTGAATGAGTGGTGCAATTAATACACACAGCAAAATCTTCATTACAACCCACCAAAATAAAAGTTTGGTCTAATTTGAGGAAATGATGAAAGAAATGTATTGCAATTGTACAGTATAATGTACTGTATTTCAAAGTAGTATTAGTAGTAGTACTAATAATAATAATGATGATGATGATGAAATGTAATAAAACATTGTTTTTTAAGAAATATCACAAAATATCACAATTTTTCATCTCTGTTTTCATTTAAAAAGTAAAACTTTTTGGTGCAAAAAATAAAAAGAAATGTTAATTGCAACTGCAATGTTAGTTGCAAATTGTTAGTTGACATGCAGTTGCAAAGTTACTTATTGTTAGTAGAATGTCTAAGGTGGACTATGGAAATAAAGTGTAGCTATTAAAAGTTGTATGCACTCATTTGATTAACACACAATTCAGAAAATGAAAAGACAACACTGAATCTGAAAAATGTCATAATTAGACATTTGTTTGTTTATTATTAAAATGTTCTTAAACCATTAAAACAAAATCCAGAAAATTACAACGTAAAATGTTAAAATTAATACAATTGTATTACTATTATTAAGTTATTAAATTGTTAAACTAGCCATAAAACTACAAAGTTTTATGAATTTAATTAATTAGACATGCTTTTTTATTATTTAAATTTAATTAAACCATTGAAACAAAATTACAATGGAAAACACAGAATTCGGGGAAGAAATAAAATATAAATATAAAATATATATTTTATTTTATTATAAAAAAAAAATGAGAAAAAATAAAACAGATTTCATATTGCCCCATTCATCCTGTTTTCTTAATAAACGTCACTGCTCTTACTGTGTATGATCAATCACTTCATGTTACTTCATCTATCGATCTATCTGACTGTATAGAATGTGTATGTCTGTGTCTGTAGGTGCAGCGCACTATAGCCAAGCAGATCCAGATGGTGACACAGATCGGGAAGGGCCGTTATGGAGAGGTGTGGATGGGGAGATGGAGGGGAGAGAAAGTAGCTGTGAAAGTCTTTTTCACCACAGAGGAGGCCAGCTGGTTCAGAGAGACAGAGATATATCAGACTGTGCTCATGAGACATGAGAATATACTGGGTGAGACTTTCTCTCTCAAACACAAACACCCTTAAATCCACATGCTACTATTATACGATTAATGTAGCAAATATACAGAATATTATTAGGAAAGGTAGTGCTTGCCAAGCTAAAGCAACTCATAATGTAAAGTTATTCAACTACACTCTTGAAAAAGTAGTTAGGTGCACTAATAAAAATATTAAATTTCACTGAAGCTATTAAGGGGACAGTACGTGTATAATTAGGGTGAATAAAGGAACTCGTTATTTTTTTTATTGCTGTTCGATGCCAAATGAGTCAGTGCTTCATAACAGTAGATGTTTAAATATCTCCACTGCACTATATATATTCTAATGTAATTTAACAAAGGTCTTTCAATAAAATAAAGTGTCTTGTCAGTTTAACTACTTAGGTCAAGGATGGGCCAAAAAAAAACATTAGGACTATATTCATGCAATAATTGCTAATCTTTTTGTTCTTCCAGAACAGGGATTCCCAGACCTTTTTGTCAGTCGAACCTCTTTGACATAAAATATTTACTTGGAGTAGATAATTTTTTCAGTAATTTAACAACACATTTACATGACACACAGGTAAACAGATAAAATGTTTAATATTTTTAGTGTTTTATTTTAAAGGGGTCCTATTATGCTCTTTTACAAAGTCTTGATTTGGTAACACTTTCTATGAAGCCCATATTTATAATACATTATAAGGGTATTCTTAATGCATTATAATGAATGCATAATGCATTATAAAAAAACTTATAATATGTTATATCAACTCATGAATAATCATAACAACAGTTATAATACATCATAATACTTGCGTATTTGTGGTTATAAGTTTAAGAGTATGATTATTTATAACACACAATGAACACCATATTAAATCATGACTTTGTTTATTTAAGATCTGCACAGTATCTTACTACAGCTTGTGAGTGGTTAGATGTTGAGTGTTTCCTGTGGAGCTAATGTTAATTAATTGATGTGAGCTTTATACTCCAACTGAAAATAAAGCAATGTTTTATATGGTTACATTTTATTTTGATGGTCCCCTTAATCAATCGACTATAAGCAACTTTGCAACTACATGCCAACGAAAAAAACAGCGTTTCAGGCGGTCGCGCACTCGCCCCTCCCCACCCCCCAACCATTCGAATTTCTTATAGGCGGGAATTATTTTTAATGATATTCTAATGGGCCGCTTTGTGATATCACAAAGCCCGGAAAACAAACGCTGTAGTTGACTAAAATTAAAAAAGTGAAAAAACATAATAGGACCCCTTTAATAGTATTTACAGGGTGTCCGCGGGTCCTTAAAAGGTCTTAAAATGTCTTAAATAACGTTTTCCTAATAAAAGGCCTTAAAAAGTCTTAAATTCAGATTCGATGGGTATTAAATATTTTTGGTCACATTACCGCCAAAATATCTTCCGTCTGTTGGCGCCAATGGCCTCGTGGGCAGCGCGCCGACATGTAGCGCCTTTGCGCTTCGGGCGTCCCGAGTTCGAGTCCCGGCTCGTGGACCTTTCCCGATCCCACCCCCATCTCTCTCTCACCCACTTCACTTCCTGTCGACCTACTGTCCTATCTAAATAAAAGGCATAAAAAAAACGCCAAACGCCTTTGCGCTTCGGGCGTCCCGAGTTCGAGTCCCAGCTTGTGGACCTTTCCTGATCCCACCCCCCTCTCTCTCACACCCACTTCGCTTCCTGTCGACCTACTGTCCTATCTAAATAAAAAAAAAAAAAAAAAAAAAAAAATCTTCAGTCTGACGGAACTAATGACTTACAATCATTGGACAGACCGAACTCACTGAAGATTATTTTTTTCTCCCCTGCGGTATTACTGCATCAGAGAGAATCGCAGTAGCAGAATACAGGTCGAACTACCTTCTTAATGTTCTCAATAATAATAATAATAATATAGGTCGAGCTACAGCTGATCAGCCTTCTAGCTAGTTTAAAATGTTTTTTTTTTTTTTTACTTGCCCGACCGGACAAATAGCCTGATTAAACATGTGTCAAAAGAAAAAAAAACCAGCGAAGCGATTGATAATGGATAGTGTCGTGTATCAAGGTCGCGCTGTTGAGGCTCACTCTGTTTGTGTCTTTGTGAGAGACTTCAGCACACATAAAGAAACTCAGAAGAAACAGGTAAAAATTCAAAATGTTTAGTTTATTCATAACATGATATAGTTAAGTAACATACAACAAGTGAGCTATTTTGCAGAATATTCTCACGACGAAAAAAACGACATTCAAAACACCTACAGAGTGCACGCATGCATTACGTGAAGTCTAGTGCGCTCTTTTACTGCATGATTCAGTCTATTAAAATACATTCAGAATGATCTCACAAATTCAAGACATGGGGGCAGAAAATGTATATTATACCACTTCATATAGTTAATCAATTTCACATGAAGAGTGCCATTTTTGCCAAAAATTACCATGATTACAAATGTGATATTGATTTTTTTTTACAACAGTTCACTAAACTAGAAGTTAATTAAGAGACTTACGTTTTAGACACCATATTGCATGATTTCGACAACAAAAATAATTCCAAACACAGCCACAGCACTTTTGGGCGTCTCTGAGCAACATGATGGTGTTTCATTCCTGAATTAATCAACCATTTAAATGATTCGGTTCAGTCGCAATGACTCACTTATTAACAGTGACTTGCTGCCACCTACTGGCGGTTTTAATTTCACATTTAAAGTCCCACTGTAGTCAAATATTTTATCCCTTAAAACTTATCTTTGATCATCAAAATGACATATTTAAATGTTTTTTCTTGTGAAAATAATTTTTTATATTACGCAGCGCCTGAAAATAGTCCCCAGCTAGGTAACTTCCAATAAACCTATTTTCAGGCGCTGCATAATATCATTGCGCCTGCTGCACCCATGGTACGGCAGCAAAGTTCCTTGATTATTACGCCGGAATGAGAGTATAGTTCCTAGCCATATCGGACTAGAAAATCGCAACTTTTCATTTTCATTTCAAGAATCCTGAAAAAAGTATCGCAGTTTCCAAAAAAATATTTGGCAGCACAACTGTTGCCAAGATTAATAATTCTAATAATAAATCAGCATATTAGAATGATTTCTGAAGATCACGTGACACTTTATACTGGAGTAATGATGATGGAAATTCAGCGCTGCATCACAGAAATAAATTATATTTTAAAGTATATTAAAACAGAAATCCAATATTAGAAATTGAAATAATATCTCACAATATTACAGTTTTTTCTGTATTTTTGATCAAATAAATACAGCCTTGATGAGCAGAAGAGACTACATTAAAAAACATAAAAAATCTTACTGATCCCAAACTTTTGAACGGCAGTGTATATATATATACTGTATATATATATATATTTATATATGCACACACAGAATAAATTATATATCATTTTAAACAACATTTTTCTTATTATTAATTATTATACAGTTTTATATGCTCATATTAACTGAGACTATATGATTTGTTAGTCTGCAAGACTATTTATTAGAACTACAAGAAAAGAAAAAAAATTGTGCAAAACCTTCCCTTTGTCAATGTTAAACTAAAACCTCAACATGTCCATGTTATTTGTCAACTGCTCAGTTAACTAAATATTTTAGACACGGGGACTTCTGGGAAAGCGTTTGAGTGATCACTCAAATTAAAGTGAGTTTAGTTCATTAAAACGAACCATCCAAAATAAATAATTTCACTTTCATTAATCGCTGCTTGAGGACATTCAGTGAGAGTGTGTTCGATCACTCGGCTGTAAAGCTCCGCACACAATACAAAGTGATGCAGCAAGCAGAAGTATTGCATCTTTTCATGCTGTTCCACTGATTGTTAGAAAAAATAGCAATGCTGTTTTCAAAACAGCAGAGCTGCTGTCACGCAACTGAAAAATGTAGTTACATTAGCAGCCCATCTACTGTTATTGAATTACTCCCACTGGTGAACATGTAGTCGGTAATTACAGGAAAATGAACCATGTTAAAATGCACGATTGAACCGTCTTGATTAGTAGTCATTTCAGATTAATTAGCTGATATCAGATTAATTATTACGTTAAATTAAGCACAGCCTTGCTCCGAGTATATTTAGCCTCGTGCACTAATTTGAACTCTCTCTCCAGGGTTCATAGCGGCCGATATTAAAGGCACAGGCTCATGGACTCAGCTCTACCTCATCACCGACTACCATGAGAACGGCTCTCTGTACGACTATCTCAAATGCACCACCCTGGACAGCCGGGCCATGCTGAGACTGGCGTACTCGTCCGTCTCCGGCCTCTGCCACCTTCACACGGAAATCTTTGGCACGCAGGGCAAACCGGCCATCTCTCACAGAGACCTGAAGAGCAAGAACATCCTGGTGAAGAGGAACGGCGCCTGCTGCATCGCTGACCTCGGCCTGGCCGTCAAGTTCATCAGGTCAGACTTCAGCTGCTTTGCTTTACTTGTCTTTGAGTTTAACTTGCTAATTATTGTAGGCAGCAGTATTACCAACCAGTTAAAAAAAAAGTCATTTCAAATATTCAATTAAGTGATCACTCAGAAGTCCGTCTGGCATTTTCTTTCTTTCTTTCTTTCTTTCTTTCTTTCTTTCTTTCTGTAGCAAGTGTAAGTAAAATTTTAAAATGAATGCTATTATTTAGTACACAATCTTAGCTGATTGTCACTATTTTCAATTTGGCTGTATAAATAATTGTTTAAAATATTTAGTTTAGTTTTATTGGTTACTATTTAGTGTAAATATATGTGCATATTGAGTTGAATTATGTCTCTGTGATTAAGGTCCTCATAGTTTTTTTGTTATTAATTATCAGATACATACTTCTGATTATTAAATACTGTTAAATTCAGTTAAATACTGTTCTGTAATTACAACATTACATATACAGTATATCAGTGTTGTTATTGTTAACTAAAACTATTAAAATTGTTTTCATTATTTTACATTGACTTTGTTATCTATATTAATATTAATATTTTATTTTATTGCAGCTTAAAAAAAAAAAAAAAGAAAAAAGTTGCCCTGGCAGTTAACTGAAATAAAAGTAAGTTGATGTACTCAAATTACTAAAACTGAAATATAAATTAATTAAAGTTGAATAGAACTATATAAAAAAAAAATATGACGAGTGACAAAAGGGCAAAAACAAAACCGCAAAAATGTTACATGAAAACTGAAAATATAAAAATAAAAGCTAATTAAAATTAATAAAAAATAAATCCTACAATCGTATATATAAATAATAAAAAATAACACAGATTAATTTAGATTTATTCTTTTATCAGACCTAAAAAATCTTTGTTATTAATGATCAAATACATACTGCTTTGATAATTAAATATTTTTCTATAATACTGTTTTATAATCTATAAATACATACCACTAGTGTATATATATATATATATATATATTATCAGTGTTGTTATTGTTAACTAAAACTAAAACTATAAAAAAAAAATAGTTTTCATTATTTGTAATGAAGCTTTTCATCTGTAGTAATATTTATATTTTATTTCAGCTTACATTAAAACTTAAAAATAAAAAAATGTTTCCTTGGCAATTAACTGAAATAAAAGAGGTTTAAGTTGAAGTAGTAAGATTACTAAAACTGAAATGAAAATAAATTGATGAAAACTGAAAATCTAAAAATAAAAGCTAATTCAAATTAATATACTACAATCGTATATATAAATAATACAAAAATAACACAGATTAATTTAGATTTATTCTTTTATCAGACCTAAAAATCTTTATTAATGATCAAATACATACTGCTTTGATAATTAAATATTTTTCTATAATACTGTTTTATAATCTATAAATGCATACCACTAGTATATATATATATATATATATATATATATATTATTTTGAGCTCATTTAAAATTCTAAACAACAACAACAAAAAACCTTCTTTGTTTATATTTTGATTATTTATAAACTTTTATTAAAGAAATGTGTAAAATGTTGCTCATCAGAATCATGGGTTCGATCGAAAAATGTAGGCCTGTATGTTAAATGCAGTGCAGTTTTCTCTGGATAAAAGTAGCCTATGTAAATGTAAGAGCACTTGAGCAGATCAGATAAGATCAAATGAATGAATAGTAGGCTAATAATAATAATAATAATAATAATAATGATGATGATAATAACCAAAAAAAAATAAAAAATGAATGTGTTATTTTCTTTCCTTTTAGTAAGTGTGCATTAAACGATTCAAAGGTTATCAGAATTAAAAGTTAAATCTGTCATTGCAGCTTTTTGAAGTGCGAATTTTGTTTGTTGTTACATTTTCGTCAGTTATTTTATCGGTTATTACATCAGATAAATAGAAGCACAGTAAAATTACATTTATTTGAATGCATTTGTGAGAGGACACGCCACTGACCCACGGCTCTCTAACCATTAGGCCACGACTGCCCCCTTACATTGCCCCTTACATATCTTCAGTGTAGTTGATTAGTAAATTGTAGTGTAGCTAACTACTTTTTCAAAAGGGTATTTTGACTCGAGCTTGGTAAAGTGCACTTTCAAAGTAGCATCATCACGTTTTTGAAAATGATGTGAAGAATATATGCTGATGAAATGAGGATTGAAACACTGTTGTGTCTCATCAAACAGCGACACTAATGAAGTGGACATCCCGCTGAACACACGCGTGGGCACCAAACGCTTCATGGCTCCTGAAGTTCTGGACGAGACTCTGAACAGGAACCATTTTCAGTCCTACATCATGGCCGACATGTACAGCTTCGGTCTCATTCTGTGGGAGATCGGCCGCCGGTGTGTGTCTGGAGGTACAGCTCTGCCTTTAATACAACACAACATCAGCTTGGTCTCAGTTCTTTCTCTGAACATTCCTTAATGGATGTATCACTCAGATCATTTAGTCTTGGAAAAATGTTAAAAACGTTTATATTTGCAGTCTAATATTTATAGACATTTACATTCAGATTTCCTTTAACCTGTTAATATGTGGTGGATCACTGATGACTCCATTTTTTAAAATATATTTACTATGTTTTTAATATTTATATTTGAAGAAAATTAATGTCTTTATTTAATATTGACTAAATATTTATTTAATATTTATTATATTACATGTATATTTGATATATTTGTTATATTAACGTTAATAGTTATTTCATATTAACTAAACTATGTATCATTATAAAGTTAATTTATAAATTATAAATATTATAATATATTTTAATAGTTGTATTTAAAGAAAAGTAATGTCTTAATATTGACTAAATATTTTGTTATATTTATTATATTAAATTTATATTTTTATATAATATTTATTATGTTTACTTTCATATTTATTTAATATTGACTAGACTATGCTTCATTATAAAGTTAATTTATAATTTATAAATATATTTTATAATAAATTATAAATATATAATAGTGATAATTTCTTAGTTTTTGTCAGGTTAAATGTATATTTTTATATAATATTTATTATGTTTACTTTAATATTTATTTAATATTGACTAAACTATGCTTCATTATACAGTTCATTTATAATTTATAAATATTATAAATTAATATATATTGTAATAGTTATATTTAAAGAAAAGTAATATCTTTATTTAATAATGACTAAATAATAGTTGTATTTAAAGAAAAGTAATGTCTTAATACTGACTAAATATTTATTTAATATTTATTATATATATATTTTATATATTTGTTATATTAACTTTAATATTTATTTAATATTAACTAAACTATGTATCATTATAAAGTTAATTTATAAATTATAAATATTATAATATATTTTAATAGTTGTATTTAAAGAAAAGTAATGTCTTAATATTGACTAAATATTTTGTTATATTTATTATATTAAATTTATATTTTTATATAATATTTATTATGTTTACTTTCATATTTATTTAATATTGACTAGACTATGCTTCATTATAAAGTTAATTTATAATTTATAAATATATTTTATAATAAATTATAAATATATAATAGTGATAATTTCTTAGTTTTTGTCAGGTGTTAAGCAAAATGAAAAAATCTCCATTTGCTCTCCATTCATTTGTTTGTATCAATGTTATTTTAGTATAACTGAGATACTATTGCAGTTTTTCTTAATAGTTTGAATTCTTTTTTATTTTTATATTTACATTTTTCATTTTAATTTTAGTTAAACTTTTTCTAATTGTTTTTGTATGTCTATATTAGTTTTTATTTCAGTTTTAGTTATCTTAGTACATCAGTATAAAAATGTTGCATTTGAATTGGAGAAATGTTGCATTGGCGACTAGCTGAAATAAAATGTTTACTTTCAAATATTTTGTTTCAGATAACAAAAGGTTTTCATGGTTATGGGTTTAGTTTAATTAACAGTAACAACCCTGGTTTGTATAAAACATTTTTTTTAAACGTTTGTATAATGAATGTGTTGTATAATAGGTCCACTTGTGATCTGAAAGAGATCTGATTCATGTTTGTTTTTTCTGTCTGTGCATTGATTGCTATCCGGATGTTTCCACAGGTATCGTAGAGGACTATCAGCTGCCGTATCATGATCACGTTCCTAATGACCCGTCATATGAAGACATGCGAGAGGTGGTCTGTATTAAGAGAATACGGCCGTCTTTCCCCAACCGCTGGAGCAGTGATGAGGTGAACACACATCTACTCTCGTGGTCTAAAGCACAAAAACACACAGACATTACATTTGAACCTTTTTGCCTTAGTCGTAATTATTGATAAAAATGTCAATATTTCATCACATCATATTTATTCATTTGAGTCCTTTTTAATGAAATTTTACAAATTTTTACAACAATTTTTTAGCTGATAAAACTAGGGTTATTATAGTTAACTAAATCCAAAACCATAAAAACATTTTACTTGAAATAAAAGGCTAACTAAAAAAAAAAACTGTAAACTTTTTTCTTCAGCTCAGTGTAATTTTAGTATCATTGAGGTATTATTATAGTTTTTATGAATAATTTGAATTAGTTTTTTAAATATATATTTTCTTTTTTCATTTTAATTTGAAGGTTTTTCTATTTTTGTTGTTTGTTTTTAATTTTTAAATTTTTTTTTTTATAAAATATGGTTTTTATTCATTTTATTTCAGTCAATGATTAATTTATTTCAAATGTATTTCAAGCAGTTTTTATTGTTTATTTTTAGTCGAATATAATAACCCTTGCCAAGGCAACATTTCCCTTTTTTCATTTAATATATATTTATAATTTATATCAAATAAGTAAACCTACAAACTGAAATAAAAATTAATAAAAACTATAGACATATTAAAGGGGTCATATGATGCTAAAAAGAACATTATTTGGTGTATTTGGTGTAATGAAATGTGTTTATGCGGTTTAAAGTTAAAAAAACACATTATTTTACAATACTACAGCGAGAATAAAAGTTACGCCTTCTTTCTTTGCGTGAACATTTGGGCGGCGTTATGCAAATCTTCCCACATAGTGAGGTAGATATGTGGGGGCGTGTTAGAACGAGCCGTTTTAGGTAGGTGTGGTTGACTCTTAACTTTTATAAAGAATATCTCTTTGGATTTGAGACTTTAGTCTTTGCAACTTTACAGATCTTCTTTATGCACCAAGAGCTTGTAACACTCCAAAGAGAAAGGAAAAATTGAAATCGCATCATATGACCCCTTTAAAAAAATTAAATAAAAATGACAAAAACAACAAAATTAGTTCAACTAAAATGAAAAAGGATAATATAAAAATAAAAATAAAAAAAAAAAAAAGAGTAAAAATTTTAAAATTGAATATAAGCAATTCAAAATATTACTAAAAACTATAATAGTATGTCAAGGATACTAAAATAACACTGGCGAGAACATTTAGAAATCTGAAAATGTTCAGCGGACATTTATTTGTGGATTATTTTATAGATCAAACTATAACAGATCAAACTTTCAAATGTAACATTAGCAAAGTGGTTCAGTTTACTGGTGTTTATGCTAACATACTACATTGAAAAAAGAAAATGTGTTGAATTAACATGATTTAATTATGTAAATCAGTTTCACATGAATAAATTAAGTTATAGCAACATTTGTTTAGTTCAATAATTCTTAGTCATAATTTGTTTATGTGCCTTCAACATTGCTATTTTTAAGTGGCCCAGTTAAATAGTTTACATGGTTCACTGACATAACATATTACTGAATTATAAGCTTGTACTAGTAAGATAAGTGTTAGCTTGCAATAGCATATACTGTATTAATAATGTAATACATCTAGCCCACGTTAGAGGATTATGTTAATGGTAAGCAAAGAAATCGAGTTTAGAAGAGAAACAATTTACAAATAATATTTTTTTTCTTGTCTAGTTTTTTTTCTCATCATATTTTTGACAATTTTAATAATAAAATCATGCCATTTTTTCCATCTCGTTGTCGAAGAGATTTGTTTGATGTGGTTTCCGTTGTGTTGTCAGTGTTTGAGGCAGTTGGGGAAGCTCATGACGGAGTGCTGGGCTCATAATCCGGCCTCTCGTCTCACCGCCCTGCGGGTTAAAAAGACACTGGCCAAGATGTCAGAGTCCCAGGACATTAAAGTCTGATGAAAGACCAACAGCACTGACACTAACTGCCTGACGTGGGTTCAAACGGAGACGAACCTCCCAGAGATCTCGTGTGGTCAGAGCTGATGGTGGCACGTCTTCACTGTATGAGGACCAGTGGGACGAAGCAGGACCTCAGCGAGCGAGATAACATGCCTGCCGTCCACGACTCGTATGTCTTTTCACAGTCTGTTCAGCTCATGCATGACAATGGTTTTGGATCATATCAGATTTGTGTTGTCAGTCACTCAACAACTTGCAACAAGTGTGATGGTTGAAGTCATGATAGCTGCGGTTTCCCACATTCTCTGGTGGGCTGTGCCTTATTTATTGTGTAAATAGATGAAAATGAATGGCGCATCAATGTACTTGAATAAATGTTCTAATAACACTGAATGTTCTGTTTTGTTTTTTTTTTAATTTGACAATTACTGTGATGCAAAACCTTTTTGAATGAAGCAAGTTTTTTTTTTTTTTCAAAAAACCTTCACATTTCAGAATGAACCATATATTTTACTTTGTTCAGAAAACAAGCTAAATAGTTACGTTATATCAATTACATGGTTACATAAACAGTTGCATTGTGCAAATGCTTATTCTGATCTGGTTTTCAGACAATATAGTCTATTCAAATATGATACTATTCAAAATTATGAGATGTCATTTAAGTAAAAAATATATACTTTTTCATTTTTTTTAATGGAAATCCCAGCATAACCACAAATTAAACACAAATTTGCTTATTTGATAAGACAGAAAGCAGAATCCAAAATATGTCTATTTATATATATATCTAGTCTATTTGTATTAAACTACTCAAAATTATAAATTAGATATAAATTAATATATACATTATAGTATATATTTTATATTCTTTGCCAGAAATAAACCAGTGTTTTCTACACCATCTCATTGGATGGACAAAAATACATTAAAATAAAATATAGTCCAAATGTACAACCTAAGAAAACATTGTTTTTTTTTTTTTTTCCAACAATACTTTAACATTAACCCATTTACTTCCTGGATCGCTCAGTGAAACAAACAGCAAGCCTCTTCTAAAAACATTTTTAGAAAAATTTATGAGATAAATTGCCTTAAAAAATGTAACCTTTTGTAACTCTTTTGGTTACCATGGTAAATGTTTAAGACAGTCACATTTTTGATTATTCAAGGTTAAGCTATTAAAAAAGATGCAAGGAATCTCCAGGAAGGTCAAATAATAAAACAACAACAACAGAAGGCCACTGTCAGCGCTGATTAAAAATAGAATTTATTTTAAAAAATCCTTTACATACATTTTATACAGAAACTGGCCGCAGACATAGCGTTTTTTGTTTTTGATTTTTAATGAAGCTTTATTCTGTGTATTAAATTCTCTCTGTACACGCGAGTCATAACGATGCACATTGTCCTGTATAGAAGCAAACATTGCATAGTTGGCACAGCATTAACACCAGACAGAAACACTCAATGCACTGCTGCTCGTCAAGCTTACAGAAGGGCTTTTCTGTTGTCTTGTTTTGCTTGTTCATTTGGCTTTTATTTTCCGCACAGAGCCTCTCATTTGGATTGTGGGAAATGGCAGTTGGTTGGAGGCTTTTTCGTGTTGGTGGGGTGGCAGCGGCTGCAGGCAGTGAAACTGCAGACAGATCACATATAATGAGCCCTGTGAGCACACCAACACTCGCATCTACTGTGATGGATTTATGCAAAAACATTTATGCATAAAGTACGCAGTCTCCAGTTGCATAGACCATCATTAACTGCAAACTGTCTGTTCTGGTTGTAAACACATTTAGGATTTGTGAGTTTAACTTTAGGTCTTGTTTAAGACTTCTGTTACATTATTTCCAGCAAATGGGAATTTTAATTTTTGAGTTGACATGAAATCAAAACGACCCTGTTTACTTAATACATGTTCCTTATTGTATGGAAACCCATTTTTGCCACATACTGTAGAAGTAAAAAAAAAAAAAAAAAACTTTAAATAAATCATGATTTTGACAAAAAAAATCAATGTTAAATGTCATTATTATAGCAAAAATTTCAAAATGATGAGATACTAAGTCATATGACAAAAAGTCAAAATGATCACAAGTAAAAAATGATGAGCTACTCATAATTAACAAAATTGTAAAAATTGGCGTCATTATAACAAAAGTTAAAATGCCAAATTTAAATTGTAACAGCCATAATTATAAAATTACAAGTCAAAATTTACAAAAAGTTTAAAGAAATTATGAGATAAGCCATTATGACAAAAAAGTCAAAATTATCACGCCAAAATCATTCAGAAAAAATCCAATTTATGACCAACTGAAATTGACAAAAAGTATGAGAAAAAGTTAAAATTGAAAATAAAAGTAAATTGACAAAAAAATTCGAAATTGACAGTTATAACAAAAAAGTTGAAATTTTGTCATCTAAATGATAAATCATGAGATAAGTTGAAATTATGGCCATTTAAAATTGACAAAAAGTCAAAATTATGAGATACTAAGTCATTATTATGACAAAAAAGTCAATTATCACAAGTCAAAAATTATACTAATTATGACAAAAGTCAAAATGATGAGATACTAAGTCATTGACAAAAAGTCAAAATTATGAGATACTAAGTCTTTATGACAGTCAAAATTGAGTCATTATGACAAAAGTCAAAATTATGAGATACTAAGTCATTGACAAAAAGTCAAAATTATGAGATACTAAGTCTTTATGACAGTCAAAATTGAGTCATTATGACAAAAGTCAAAATTATGAGATACTAAGTCATTGACAAAAAGTCAAAATTATGAGATACTAAGTCTTTATGACAGTCAAAATTGAGTCATTATGACAAAAGTCAAAATTATGAGATACTAAGTCATTGACAAAAAGTCAAAATTATGAGATACTAAGTCTTTATGACAGTCAAAATTGAGTCATTATGACAAAAGTCAAAATTATGAGATACTAAGTCATTGACAAAAAGTCAAAATTATGAGATACTAAGTCTTTATGACAGTCAAAATTGAGTCATTATGGCAAAAAGTCAAAATAAGCTACTGAGTCATTATTGTGACAAAGTCTGAGAAAAAGTTAAAATTGAAAATAAAAATAAATTGACAAAAAAATTTAAAATTGACAATGTTATAAAGAAAAAGTTGAAATTTTGTCATCTAAATTATAAATCATGAGATAAGTTGAAATTATGACCATTTAAAATTGACAAAAAGTCAAAATTATACTAAGTCATGACAAAAGTCAACATTTTCAGAAGTAAAAAATTATGATACTAATTATGACAAGTCAAATTTATGAGATAGTAAGTTGATTATGAAAAAAAGTCAAAATTATGATATACTAAGTCATTATGACAAAAAGTCAAAATTATGAGATACTGAGTCATATGACAAAAGTCAACATTTTCACAAGTCAAAATCATTATGACAGTTGAAATGACCAATTGAATTTGACAAAAAAAGTCTGAGAACAACTTAAAATTGTAAAATTAAAAAGTAAATTATGACAAAAAAATACACGAAGTTGACAAAATGTCATAACGAAAAAGTTGAAATTTTGCCATCTAAATTATGTCATAATGAGATTAATGAGTTAAAATTGACAAAATGTCAAAATTATGAGATATTAAGTCATGAAAAAAAACACTAAGTCATTATGGCAAGTTATGACAAATTGTCAGTATAACAAAAATGACAGTAAATCTAAATTATAAGTCATAATGACATGTTGAACTTATGACAAGTCAAAATCGACAAGTACAAATTTATGAGATACTAATGTAATAATTTTGACAAAGTCGAAATCATGACAAATCAAAATATAATAAAAAGTCAAACTTTTGTCATAATTATGTTAATTTTATCTCATAAATTTTATCTCATAATTTTAACTTTTTAAGTTATAATTTCAAATGTTTGTCACAATTTTGTCTTTTCATGTCATTAGTTCGAATTATTAATTATCTCAAAATTGAGACTTAATGTGAAAATTTAGAAGTTTTATGTCATAATTATGATTTATCAATGCATGATTTTTTCTTAGGTGGTGAAAATGGGCTTCCATAGTATAGGGAACAATTCATCAGTATAAATATTTTAAAAGGTTCTCAATCTTGCATCAGAATATGATAACTTGCTCAGCCTCTGAAAAACCATTGCTTCATCACCACCAAGCCCGCTTTTCCCCAAGACATTACTTTCCTAAATGTTACAAGTTAATGTGCATGTAAATATGTTCTGATAAACTCGCTACAAAAAACAAGCAAATATATTCCATAGAAATGTTTCATTATGTATCTGATATGATATGATAATTATGTATCTATGTATAAGTAAAATGTCTGACATCTTTCATGTGATTTTTTTTTCTAATGTTCACTGGTCAGAGATCTTATTTCTAGTGTCTGGATGAAGCGTAACACAGGAGTGAGATCTTTAATATTTTCCAGATTAATTGATTCCACCATACTGGTAGTGTTGATTGGAGAGCTTCAGACCTGCAGCTCTGACTCAAACCTAATCAAACCAATCAAATCTGAGTTTTGACCTAACCAGCCTCTGCAACTAACAGGTCATTTTGTCTTATAACACTGGGTAGCCAACAATCTTTATATTAAATATATAATATGTTCTGACTGGTTGTGATTGTGTCATGTTGTACAGTATTTTCACTTTGTGTCTGGACAGAAAAATAACCTGTCACTGGACACTGGTTAGGACACAGTATGAGTGCTCAACCCCTTACAATAATTCACCATAACCACAGCTTCCACCAAAAGTTACTACAGTTATGATTACTACAATAAACCTATGGTAACTCACTGTCATAAACTTAAAATTAAAGGATTCTGAAAAGAATTATATGAATTCATTACAATATTCCAGTTGTAACTGTAGTATCCATCACATTTTGGGAGAAATTATAGTCACCATGGTATGTTTTTGTAAGGGATAAATTTACTCTGGTTAAAATAATGTGCAATAATTTTTTATTTTTTTAAAATAACTGCAATAATACTATTGCACAGTAAAAAAACAACAACAAAAAAACACTAGTCATTATTATTATTATTATTAATGATAAAAAGTAAAATTAAATAAATAATTGTGAAAACTAGTCATAATTATAATAATAATAATTATTATTTTATTTTTAAATGATATATTAATATAAATAATATTCAAAATCTTATTTTATTATTTAAATAAAAATCGTATTTAAATAATAAAATAGAAATAACATTTTGAATAATATTAATGAATTGATTGTTTTTGAATAATAATAATTAATAATAATAATAAAAATAACAAGTACAATAATTATTCCATTTTTATTTTATTATTTAAATCATGAAAAATTAAATCAATAGGGCAATATA